CACTTGTGCGATGATAGATTTTGTGACGTCATCCGTTAATTTACTTTCATCGATGGTCTACGATGATGCGTGAGCTGTCATTTGACATGTATCATGTGTCGCCACACTATGTTAAACTTTGCCATAGCGAAACCGACTTCCAAATATTATGTGGTCGACCCACTATTACCGACTTTCTACTCCTCAAACTTTCAATGCATTCAAAATTATATTTGGACTCCACCAACGCCATTACAAAAAGTTATGAAGGATTAATTAGGGTTCCCGTTAATAAATGTCCGCTGATTTGGTTAAATGAACCCTAGTTTCGAGGTGAATGGGTTCCGTACCTTTTAAGTACTTGTGGAGGTAATTCGGTCGTGTCATACACGATTAGTTTGGTCAGCTAAAATTTCCTGAGTGTGGAAAGGTACATATGTATGTATTCCAGTTTTATATAATTTATATTCTATCTCTTTTATTTACATCGAACTTGCGTTTTATTTTATTTAATTATTAGTATAACTAAATATATTCTATTTAGTTTTTAACTATTCTTGTTGCTATGATAAGTAGCAATTGTGTAGAACTTTTTAAATAAAACCGAAGTTTTAATTCAATAAAATGAAAACTGCTCAAAGAGTTCAACTTGGATCAAATTGTTGCGATCCATCAACTAAGTATGACACGGTACCCGAAAAAATGATGCATCGCATATTAATTACCCAGAAGCCGTAAAGTGAAGTGTTCATAATCGCACTGGTAAATATAATAATACTAATACTCCTAAATATTATGAAGAAAAGATGTATATTTTTTAAAGTGTTTTTGATATGAACGAATAACACATACTTCTAACTTAATCACGAAAACAGAACCTTCATTCATAACCAGAAACATGAAGTACATCTTAAAACTAAACATAAATCTAAAATACTACTCTTTAAAAACACACTGGTGGGAAATACCAAAAAAAAAAAATAAGCAGAAAGATCTCCGTCACTTCCCTGCGAACCTTTTATTGCTGCACTAAAGTGGGTGCCAGGACGTTTCCAGCCAGCTCGCGTCTGCCACTATTTATCCAAGTGAGCCCACCAAAGAGTTCCAAAGTGTCACATTCAGATTTCCATAAGCGGTGTTACGGCGCAGTACGTAAGACGAGGCTGGAAGGCTGGCGTCCCGCCAAACAATTACTTTGTCTCGTCAGGAGCATTTCTTCGGCTGATGGCTCTAAAGTGTCTACTGCTTTATACATAAGTTTAGCGTTTAACGTGTAAAAACTGGGTCAGTGGTGTGAAGTTTCTGGATTGTAATCTTGGTGTCTGTATTACTGTACGGTATGAAGAAGGCCTTACTTCAATTTGATTTTTTGAGTATCAGATACGGTCCCAAAATTCAAAACCTTTACAGCATTTATAATTCAATGGAATCAAACTATCTGATATCATATACATACAAAAAAGTAGAATATCAAAAATAGGGCACCCACAAAGGCAATTTTTTTTTTATGGCATAAGCCGGTAAACGAGCAGACGGATCACCTGATGGTAAGCAATCGGCGTCGCCCATGGACACCTGGAACACCAGAGGCGTTACAAGTGCGTCACCAGCTTTTTGGTGATTAGGAGTTTGAGGATCGTTGGGGATTCGGGGATTGGGGAGATTGGCAATCACAAATTACTGAAACAAATCTAAACAAAAGTCTATTGGACCACTTTATACAACCACCTTTACACATACATCTGGCTGCCAATACCGACAAAAGCAATTTGATTCGCCAACCACTAGTAATAGGGAGTGAATTAAAAACAAAAGAGCATGTGCAACTAGCAACTAGAGTGGTGACGTACATTAATGTATCTACACGGTGTACTGGCTTGAAATAAAATGACCATTCGATCTAACAAATCCTGGCACATTTATAAAGAAACCTATTCCCGCGAGGTTTCACCCATTCTTCGCAGTTCCCATTAATTGTAACGTAATGTTTTAAAGCCTATTATAATAACCTCTCTTGATAAATGCAATAGGTATCCAACACAAAACCAAATATTCAAATCAGACCAGTCCAGACCAAGCCAGCCAACCAGACCAAGAGTTACTAATCTCCGAAACGGAGATTAGTAACTCTTTCAAAGCTTGTTCAAAGTAAAATTGTGCGTGTTTTATTAAAAAGTTATGTTTTTTAATTTTATATCATCATCAACAGCCTATAAATGCCCACTACTGAGCAAAGCCTCTTTTCACACGTGGAAGGTTTGAGCATTGATCACCACGCTTGCTCAATGCGGGATGGCAATTATAAACTTATTATTAGAAATTATAAGCCCAGGTTTCCTCACGATGTTTTCCGTCACCGTTTGTCTGTGGTATGTAGATAATCTTAGAAAATACATATAACTCGGAAAAAGTCACATTGGTACTTGCCGTTTGTAGGTTTCGAACCCGCACCCTCATGCATGAGAAGCGGGCGTCTTAAACCTCCGGGCCACCACACCAGACATCATTTTGTATAATCAGTTTCAATTTTGAGTCGTTTTTTAAATCATATTGTTACACAGACAGTTTAGGAACTGTTTTAAACTATGTTAAACGTTAAACTAGTTTCGAACCTATGTGTGGGAGAGCCATGCTTCGGCACGAATGGGCCGGCTCGACCGGAGTGATACCACGGCCTCACAGAAAACCGACGTGAAGCAACGCTTGCGTTGTGTTTCGTCGTGTGAGTGAGTTTACCGGAGGCCCAATTACCCTCCCCTTCCCCAATCTCCCCAATCCCTGAATACCCAACGATCCTCAAACTCCTAATCCCCAAAAAGCTGGTAACGCACTTGTAACGCCTCTGGTGTTCCAGGTGTACGCCGATTGCTTACCATCAGGTAATCCGTCTGCTCGTTTACCGGCTTATGCGATAAAAAAAAACCCACAGAGGAATTCTTCACGACAATTATTATAAAAACATGTGTTTTTTAAGTAACCTTTACTTTTCTGTGTTAGGTAAAAAATAACGGTGACGTTACCAAATAGTAAATTGTTCTTTGCCAGACATGATAACCACTATAACAAGTGTCACAAGTAACACACGAACTCTCGAAAAATCCACAAAATTATATTTATCAGACGCCAAGTCCCTTTTAACAACAAAAACACTTGTGTGTCCATTAAATTATTTACAATCGTGACTAAGCCAGACAATTATAATACAATTCATGAGCAAATATTTTTATTTACCGACTTTCTTGTCTGGTCGTCACGTTCACAAAGTCAAACTCATTTCGACCATTTAGTCTTATTACTCGTAGCGATAGTCATCGGTCTGCCCTTTAGGTATACAAACTTTTTACTAAATTATAAAGCGATATAGGAGGTATTTACGTAAGTTTGTCAATGTGTAAGCTGTTGACAATAAAGTGGTTTCCAGCTCAAATATTAACAAAGTTACGGGACAGAACTAAATTTTGAGGAGATTAAAGCAACTGTCTAGTTGAGTAAGTAGTTATAAGTGCTACTGCCGAATTTCTGAGTGTGATCTCCACGTTCAGTGAACCTTTATTGGGATTTTCTATTGCTACGTTGTTTATATAATATATCGTACACTTAAAGTGCTACCTTCGTTTAATTTAAACTTTTTTTAAGACAGTGTATTAGACTAGATCTTTGACTTGATTTGTACATCATTCTTCAGGTTAAAGAAGTCATTTAAAAGTTCAGCCAGTGTTAGCAAAGTAAATTCAGGTTTAAAAGGTAAAAAAATCAAAAACAAGGTGTCCCTCCCTTCAATCTGAGGCCAGAACTCCCCTCGTGCACCCTTGCAATTATAGAATTGTTATAATAAAAACGCCAGCAGGCCACTTGAAGCTATGTCACCTTGGATATTATCTACATCCCTTTGATCTCCCGTATTCCCTTTTGTCAATCGTTCGGGTGTCTCCAGTGCAAACATCACTTGTTGGCGGGAGCAATTTGGGTCCTATTTCAAAGGACGAAGCGCCCCAGGTACCAATCAAACGCCATGACGTCACTGACAACAAGGAAACCATTAGCAAATTCCCTCTCACGTCATGAAGACCGTCAACAGTTTAGATTGCATACCTATTTCATCTACTAGTCATCTCTTGTCTGTGTAACGATGTTCCGTTAAAGTTGCTTTTAGCAGCATTGACATTAATAGTGTCTGTATTGGAGAAGTCCTTTTGTGTTGATTGTAGAGGAGGAACTTCAATTCGTAACCAATTTCATAATGAAATATTTGATGTTTACAAAAAAAACGTGTTAATTTATGAAATTTCTGTAGGTATCATGGGTAAAGTTTTAAGGACTGCTTTTTCGGAAACAGTTACTTCAGAAAAATAAAATCTCTTAAGTCTTCCTGCACTAAAAAAGTTAAAAATTTATAGCACTCTAAAAACTATGGAACATGAACTTAGTTTAGTTTTTACTGTTTACAATAAAAACTGCGAAAAGGATCGTAAAAACTACGGCAGTCGTCCCAATAATAGAAATATCTGCATCGATAATACTTGAAGAGGCCTTGACAAAGACAAAGAAATTGTTTGGCGTGCAGCCAGCTCCCCTGGGCTCCAGCACAGGTATGAAGATAGAAAGAAGCGAGCCGATCAAAGATTGCTCTGTTTTAAAACGAGGAAAATGCAAAGTTTTGTTGTTCGAAACGATAGCAGCTTCCGAAATAAAAATGTAAATTTGTTCAGCTTTCCTGCGGTTTTCTGTTCGGTGGAATTTGTGCTTTTCCAATTCCAGACAAGTATTTGAACAATCAGACAATTCCAATAGCGCTCCAGTCTCTGGTTAGCCACGGTAATTTGTTGCATTGCATTTTCCGTTTAACTATATTTCACTAAATATTTACGTGCAACGGTAACCATCAGTACAGTAAAAGATCAGAAAAAAACACAGATGAACTGAATATAAGTAATTTATGTATGGATCCTTACATATTGAAACACCTAAACAAATAATAATCAAGTGATCATAACAGAAAACTTAAAATCTGAAGAACTTACCTAAATCTTCGGCATCTTCACTCCACTCTCCAGCAGTGGCGCACACAAGCTCAGCCGACATGCCCACCAACACAGCATACACCAACACGGACTCCATCACACACACTCCCCGCCCCCACATCATTACTTCACCCCACTCTACACCTACTTTGGCAACATTTTACTACAACAGTAATGTTTCATTACGCAACAATCAACTATTAGTTAAGCTCCGTAACGTTAATTAATTTAATATTACACTATACATTAGCTACGCCATTCCATTACCCCAGGAACCTCTATTGTCAACTTTACAATTGATCAACGCTATTGAATCACTGACTAAAGTCGATCCACGAACACTGCATACATTTTCTTAATTAAAATTCGCTCTATTTTTGCTTTAGGTCGATCTCCAAATCGTACAGCGATATTTCGTCGATAGTTTCGAATCGAGTTCCATTGCTCTGATTTGTTAGAGCATGTAACCGTTGTGTATGAACGATCCCAGTAATCTTTCCGACATTACATGTGGAGTCGCGTGTAGTGTGTCGTCACGCACGGCCGACTTTCGGGACGCGGTTAAATATCCCGATGAATTATTCAGGACTCTTTTAGCGGCGGTGCGCGCTTGAGGACAGAAAGACCACCTGCAACAAAGTACATAGTCCCTCATTTATGTCCAAACACAACTATATTTAGACAAGTCGTTTTGCAAATTGGAAGGGAATTTATAATCAGTTATGACAGACTGGCTCAGTTTTAAGAGGACGGAAATATTCGCAATTAAGTTTGTGCAATGAAAAGCTTTAAAGGCTTTTTCGAATTTTGACTGAATTTGCTTGCTCCATAATGAAAGTTTTCCACAAACCGACTAGAGGTAGACATGCAAGTATACTCTGTGAGCTGCGTTACCACAGAAACTAATTAACTTCATAACATTTGGCCAGACATTGTCAAAAATGTATCAAAAATATTTAGCGGAGAATTCCCGCTGCATTTCGTTGTGCTACCAGAAACATTCCACTGTTTATTTTAAAAGAGATTTCTCGTAGAAAAATTTAACAAAAGCTTTCAAGGAGTAAAATCCGTCATCAAAGGCGGCCAAACGACCCGTAGCGAGTGCTGAAGCGCTAATATAGTTTAGGAAACAACGTGCCCCTATTTCCTAGACGTTAGGGCGAACTCGCCGGCTAGAAACTTAGTGCTATCTACTTGATATTATAGAGACGGCAACTTAGATATTATATGCAGACCTAACACGCAGGTACACTAGTCTAGCCGAAGCACTAAACGTTAATAAACTGTGTGCTTACTATCAAATGACATTTTTATGGTAATGTTTCCACGGCGGAATAAAGTTTACGTCTTATTTAGGAGACACGTGAAGTTTAGATAGAGGCAACCGCATTTTATGTCTTAATGTGGATCTGTTACGACACTAATTACAATGTTTCCCTTGAAACCTTTTGTGGTGAATGAGATTTTCATTTAAGTAGAATTATGAATTTAATATTGAAGATGGTGCAGGTGACTAAGTACAAAATGGTTTCTACTACTTTAACTCGTCGAGTACCGGTTTTGTAGACACAATTATAGAACAATAGGTTGCGGTCACCGGTGACCGCTTGGTGTTTGACAGTTTAAATACCAATAGCACAAGTTTTGTGATACTACTAAGTATTCTAGTTAGTATTAAAAAAACAAATTTAATTACATAATTAACACTATAAGCAACCCGCACACCGCATTAAGAAAACTCTGAAGTACACAGAACGCAAGAAACGTCACTTAATGTAAAAAAGCACCAAGACCCAACTTAACGTCAAGTTTCTATGAAATCTAGTGAAACCTAGTTTACGCTTCATCGGATCGACACTAAGACGAAAAAACATCGTATTCTAGAATATTCCCGAGAAAAATCCGCTCGTAGTTGGCCTATATTCCGATTTACTCTGTATAAAAAGTAGGCACCCATGCCCACTCATAACCATATTTTATTGGCTTCTCTTAGAAGCATTCCTCTTATATATTTCTATACATTTCCCATTCCTTCTTTGATTTCGCGCAGCTCTTAAAGGAAATTGTTTGATCTTTACGAAGGAAATTACCTAAAAGCCTTGTTTGCAACATTTTTTCGCCATATGAAAATTCACTGAAGATAGCCTGCCTGAAAGGCTACTTAAGGCAAAATTATTAATAAAGATCTGATTTCTTTTGATTTTTTGTAATAAATAGCCACTGGAGCTTTCGTTAATGCTTGAAGTGTTCCAATTTACAGGCAAAATAAATTATCTAGTCTTTAAACTAGCAAAATAAGGCGAAGTATTATTAATTTTGATAGGCTGAGTAAAATTAAGTAATTTCTTTTAGTCTTTAGTGGTTGTTGGCAAGCTGTCAAAATGGTTGAAGATTGCTCAATTCAAGTTAATTGAAAATGTTAGTATAAATGGACCAAACTTGTTGGCGACGTCAATGTTAAGAGATTCTGATGAAAATATTTAATTATAAGCTATTATCAGTGTTTTCTGCATATATACTTGTCGGCAATAGATGGCTACTAAGTTTAAGCTTTGAATGCGATTTGAATGAATTAGTACCTCTACACTCGATTTCTGCATTTCTATTCATATTGTATATGGTTTTGCAAACGATGAACAGCGCTAGGGTCGTCTTAAAATTGACACGCCTCCGCCTTTGTATTAGAATATAATAACGTTTCTTGAACAACACGTATCTTACAGATAATATGTTATACAATTGTATTCGTAGACGTTATGAGGCAAGATTATTAAGTTATCAAAAAACAAAATTGATTTGATAATATTAATAACTAATGAGCAAAACTGTTTTTGTTACAATAAACACTTTTTATTTCATTTTATCCATCCGTATACGCGTCCAAAAGTCTATCGTCATTCTATTTATGAAATAAACAAGAAAATATGCTTTTGTTGGAATAAATTATTTATTCGGTTTCCGATAAAGCGGAGGCGAGAAAATTGCGTTAAATACAAGTTTCTAGGAATTCAAGTCATTATACTTCATGAGGACTTCATAACCATCAAAATACAAGACATTTTGAACCTTACATAGGTAAAAATAACTGTGATTTTGGGGGATGAGATTATTTTAATTTTTACACAAATAGCCATCTATTTGTGCGATCCAATGTTCACATCAGTGGAACTGTTAATGTTACGCTTCAAAATAGAATCTGATATTAAAATACACCGGCTCGCCATTGTCAAATTAAATTTAAACTTTTAATACCATTATCTGAATTTAGAAATTTTTTGTGCGATCAATAAATTCATTGATGAACATGGTGTTATTTTTAATTACTTATATTATTTTAGATATTGTGTTACGATTATTTTTATACTCTTTGTGTTTAAAGGCCAAATTTTGTTATAAAACATAACGTATGACCATGAATCCATGAATTTTATTCCGTGAAGTATTTTTTTATGGCATCAGCCGATACACGAGCAGACGGATCACGGACACCTAGAACACCAGAGGCGTTGTAAGTGCGTTACCAGTCTTTTGGGAATTAGTAGTTTGAGGAATTGAGGATCGTTTGGGATTCAGGAATTGGGGATTGGGGAAGTACCTATTAGATAGAAGTAAGATTAGGCACACAACATTAAGTTCGATTTTGTTTTCTTGTTATTGCAATCTGTCTGGGAGACATTCAACAATACTTACGTAATGATATATGATATGTGAGGTACAAGTTTTGTGACAAGCCCTCTTATGTAGTATTTTAAATTAAATCTTGAATCTTAAATCTTAAATCTTGAGGCACTCTTTTCTTTTAATGCAAGGAGAATAAGTTAGATAATGCACAATGCACATACTAACTGTAAGTTAAACTCACATTTTACTAGTTATATTGAGAATCATTGAAGCATTCTGAACAGAACTCTTCTCACTCTTCTTTAGAACTATTAGTTGTTACGGAGTAGTCATTGGTAGCTGTGCAAAGGAGCTCCAAATCTGTTTTATGTCGCGGAGAACCTAACGGGTAACCGGGGCTCCGGCTCGACGTGCAGGAGAAGGAACGGGGTGGTTTTTAGTCAGTAAGAGTTTGACACTCCCTTCCGCCTCACCCAGGCGGGAGCAGTAATTCGATGATTTTCCCCCCTTAAAAAAAAATCTGTTTTATAGGTGATGCCAGCTACCGGGTTAGTTTTAGAAAGAGAAGAATCCATACGTAGTAATCTTTCTCCCTAAAAGTTAGCTCGCGTTATAACAGTTCCGTCCGTCATTAAAAAATAGTAATTAGCAAGCGAATAATAGCATCCAATAAATTTTATGTAACACGTATACATGTATTATATGGAATGGATATTATTACAGTGAATTCCAAAAAATAGCAATAAAGAACAACATTTTTTTTTATGGCATAAGCCGGTAAACGAGCAGACGGATCACCTGATGGTAAGCAATCGGCGTCGCCCATGGAGACCTGCAACACCAGAGGCGTTACAAGTGCGTCACCGGTTTTTTGGGGATTAGGAATTTGAGGATCGTTGGGGATTCAGGGATTAGGGAGATTGGGGAAGGGGAAGGTAATTGGGGCTCCGGTAACCTCACTCACACGACGAAACACAACGCAAGCGTTGTTTCACGTCGGTTTTCTGTGAGGCCGTGGTATCATTCCGGTCGAGCCGGCCCATTCGTGCCGAAGCATGGCTCTCTCACACTTACCGAATGAATGAGTTTTTAACATTAAAACCGTTTTGTAATAATGAGCGTTTTAATTTTAAAAATAGAAGTTGCTATTAACGACTTTTTTACATTCCAATTACGGTTTATACATTGTTTATTAGGTTTTTCTATATATGTGCGTATTGTCATTGTTCGTTTTGACAAAATGTGCAGGTAATGTTGTGTAGATATTTTTTGGTGATACTTTATAAGCAGATAATTAAGTTATAATTGAAACGCAATATTAAACAGCAACGGAAAAAGTTTTATTAAAACTAAAACGTGGAAAACAGCAACAGAATATGTTGATTACTTCGTTTTTTATCTATTTATTATTTCTAATATGTATCTATTTTATTAAGGAGAATTATCAAACAAGTATGAAAGTTTGTGCTATTTTCAAAACTGAAAACTCAATATTAAAACACTATTGTTTTGAAAGCACAAAATATCTTATATAACACATTACAAGTCTACTAAAAAAACTATGATACCTACATTAAAATAGTCATTCTAAAAATAAGTTAAACTTTGCAATAAATAGGTACTTTTCGCGCGGAAAACCGCGGGAAAACGCAACTTCACCTGCAATTACGATACTTAGTTACAACAAACACTTTCGTCTATATTTTTTTTTAGACAAGTTCAGTACAAAATCGTGCCATAATTATTGGCTTCAAGCCAGAATCTCGCTTTGAAAGTCTGTTAACAATTGCAGGAACAATTTCTTACTCAAAAGAATTACGAAATTCTTGGACCTAATGGACCGGTTGCCGGTTCATCGACTCAACTGAATTTTTACAGTAACAATGCAATATCGAAGCCGCTTAGTTTCGATACTGTAATAACTGGTTTATAAATAGGAAAATGGAACAGATTTAAAGTTGAATGCAATAATAAAATGAAGGGTGTAATGGAGTCTTTGGTATGGCAGATTTCGAGGAGCACTCTAATAGGTACATATATCTGCTTATTCCCTATTTCATACATAATTCAAAGAGTTAGACCAAACCTAAGGGCAGGGGTCACTAATCATGATATAACCCAAGTTTACTCAGATACACACGAGATTTCCTCAAGGAGTTTCTGAGATATGCAAATGTTTGTACGTTTCATTATTAATTAATCGTCACATTAGCCAGTCTGTCCTGAACGATGCCGATATACAACCTACTTATGAAACATCGTAAACACTACATTAATCAAATTACATAAACCACACCGACAGACGTTAGATCATAATTATCCTAAAATAATTCAATTTAACCAACTCTAGTCAAATTACTAGTTCCACTTTAACACAATTCTGTCGCTAACTCAAAACAATAACGATAATGAAATAAACTCATCAATCCAACACAAACATTTTCATAACAAATTGATCATACAAAAATGTAATGAACAGTACGTGAATTGAATATTCACAATCATAATTTGACGATAGATGTCGGTGTTTTTCATAAAATATACAAGAGAGATACCCACCGGTGATCAGCTGATAACTGTCAACAACATTCATTGTTTACTCCGTGACGATGCAATCAAAACTACTGACAGTTTCGAATTAGACCCACGAAGTTGTGATAACACCGACCCTTACTTGTCATGTTCATTATACATCGTGCTAATAGGTTTCGCAACAAAGTCCTAGTGGAGTTTTTGTACCGCAATCTTAGATTTTATATTTTTTTCACTTTAGTCATTCACATCCACGGTTAAAGTATATTAGAACTCGGATTAATTAGTGGTATTAATGGAGCACGTTAATGGGTTCGTGAAAGTTTGGTTATGAAGATTACGAGAGGGTGTCATGCGTGATTGTTCGGGTGTGGACACGTGTATCGGGTCGCGCGCCGCGCGGACTACTGGCGGTGCGTCGCGTCGCCGCGCGGCGCCCACCTTGGTTCCGTGAGGGTGCTCGGAGCGCCTCGGCCGCCCTCGCCCGCCTCCGCCAGGTAAGGTAAGCTCGCCCGACATGAAACTCTGATTGAATGGATGAGTTTCCAAATGCTTTTTTGTAGGAGCCGAGCGACAAATCACGATGTCGGACGGAACATTTGTGTTAACTTTCCGTGGTTTATTTGAGGGACATAAATTTAAATTACGGCTTCTTGAATTTTCTTTTGGAGTCGTTGTGAATTTATATTTCTTTGCGCTTTATTGACGTGTTGGTAGTGAGGATGGAGGAGTAAGTGTACTGAATAAAGAAATAGAGGTTGTTTATGTTCGTTACGCCTGAAATATTATTTTATAACCATAACTTAGAATATGTAGGTAAACATTACATCATAGGCAACATTTTCTCTACCGCCTTTCGTAGACCACTTACGTCAACATAAATTACTAACCTTATCTCTATAACCTTCCCAACCTCATTATAACTCACATAAAAACATCCACACACACACATACATGTTACAAAACAATTTTTACCACATCCCCGTCACCCTTTAATTTCTCCGCTGCGTGTACCGGATTGAACAGCTCGCTACGTAGGTACCAGGTACATATTAATTACTGCGATCCAAATTAGCGCACTGACCGTACAAAAGTTCTCGTTAAAACCTTGTCAAAACACTTTGAGGACTGAATCGTAATTTAGCGTAACATTCGTAAACGATTTCAATTTGTTTCGACAAAATTAATAACATTTATTTTCGATGTAAGACTGTTTAAACTTTGTATTAAATAAATGTGATTCCAATATAGGTGTTTCGATTGTTAATGTATTGGGTTTTGGTATTCGAATACGTTTAAAGTCTTATTTTGGTTTTGTTTTTTTTTACTCTTTATTTTAGAGGTTTCTGAAATTTAATCCTGATTTTCAAAATCAGGATTAATAAACACTTATGACTTGACGTTTTTAAGCAAAACATGTGAACCGTAATTACATTTTAAGACCTTTCTTTACCATATTTTTGAGCAAATAGTTAATTTATTTATTAACTTATTATTTGTTTCTGGCACTAATGTTCGATACTAGTTCGAATTTAATAGAAGATCCGAAATAAAAACTCTAATTATAATTCTTCTTCAGATCCGAAACCCAAAATAGTTGTTTGAGATCTCGTATTCGATGATACGTATATGATGATAGCTCGTTTCTTAGCTGCAATAAAAATTGATAAAAACTATTAAAGCCTAATACTCCGCTAGCGTCGGACATCATTGTCCGACACGGCACACAATGTGTTAAGAATCCCCTTGACTAGAATGTTAATCTAGAGTCTAAAGTCTAATAATTCTTATAAAAAGTACTACGCTTAAAAAACTGACCTTATTTCGTGTTTTTTTGAAGTCGGTCAATTGATATATTAAAACCTTTTCCTAAATGTAACAAACACGTATCTGAGAACCGTTTCAAAATCGGTTCAGCCAATCACGAGGTCATCGCGCACAAACACACATATTATAGAACAAACTGAGAACATACCATTTTTTGATTGGTTGAAAAGATGCTTTGTATTTATTTCTTGAGCAACTAATTACTATTCCATCGACAGCTTATAAATGCCCACTGCAAAGCCTCTTCTCGCGTTTAATCACCACGCTTGCTTAATGTAGGTTGGCGATTTCAAACTTATAATTAGAAATTATAAGCCCAGGTTTCCTCACGATGTTTTCCTTTACCGTTGGTTAGTGTCTAAATAATCTTAGAAAGTACATATAACTCGGAAAAGTCACATTGGTACTTGCCGTTGGTAGGTTTCGAACCCGCACCCTCGTGCATGAGAAGCGGGCATCTTCAACCTCAGGCCATCACGACATCAATTACTATTGCGATTATTTATTTATAATACTTTGGCACATAATTAGCACATGGACTTAATGCCGGGGGCATTCTTAATTTGTATGACACTCCAGTTTTTTTATATTTTCTCTATAGTTTGACGTTTGGCTGCCAGCTCGCCTGTGATTCTTAATCGTAATATACATTTTTAGTCGCGGAGAACCTAACGGGTAACCGGGGCTCCGACTCGACGTGCAGGAGAAGGATCGGGGTGGTTTTTAGTCAGTAAGAGTCTGACCACCCAGGCGGGAGCAGCCATTCGAAGATTATTCCCCCTTTTAAAAAAATATACATTTTTAAGTTTCAAAAGGTCACGTGGGTAAAACTAACCCTGTATTTGACCAATGGGTTACTAGGTCATCGGTGAAATGATGAGTTGCTCGAGTGATAGCAAATCCAATTGCTTAGTAAAAAGCCTCGGATTGATTTCGAATGAATTTCATGTTTTCATATCTAACATGTTTAGTCGCATTCGTAAATATATCGATTATCAGGGTTGTCAAAAATCATTGTCAGGGTAAAAAGTTGTTATGCAGGTTGATTACAGATAGTAAATAAAAAATATGAACGTTGAACACCTTGTTAGAAACCTTTTTAAGATATAAGTGTAAATCCTAGAAAGGTCCATTATTCCAGAATTTTGTCATATCGTAGGTCAGTTTACAAACAAACATACATATTATTCTTCTACATATTATAGCCAGGTGTAGAAGAGTAATTTTTATATGTGACAATCCCGCCACTGTCTCCCAAAACCGCTGCAACTCCTGTAAGCCAGGATCTACAGTAGATACAACCATGAAAACACCGGAACACTGAGGTCCGGCGCGTCCCAGGGACATGAATAACTGTCTGGATTCCCGCAACGAAGTGAATCAGAAGATATTATAAGAGGAGAAAAACAAAATAATTGTTTCCACTTCGCTCGGTGAATTACTGCAAGAAACAGAATGAATTCAGCCTAAAGCGAAAGAGCAATTTGTGGATCATACAAAGCGTAGTTCCGTATGGGGATTTAAGCAACCCGATTGCCCTGGTATTGCCCCAACTCATATGCTATCCTATATTTTACTGTAACGTAGCATTTTCTACAATGCACACGACAAAGTTACAAAACCGACAAGCTTACGCAATCATTCGAACACCACGAAGGAAGTAAAACGTAAAGAAATCCAAATCCATACATTAATATAAAAAATCCAAAGCGAACATAATGCCCTGGGGGCACCGATAGGCAGGGTTGTCGCGTCGAGCATGAATTATCGACTCAACGTGGATCCACCGAGTCGCGGTCTGACGCATAATTCGGTATCTCAAACAATAATGGCATCATTTCACAAAAACGATGGCTCTCCCCGAATAGCGATGGGATAATCCAACTTAAAGCGCCGTTGACAATCGATTATTCAGTTTTCGTTAGATTAGGCTTGTTAAACGAGGAATTTATGTGCAGCTCTTGTTGCATTATATTGTGTGGTATTGAAAGCCGTGAATTGCCAACTTTTATAATTATTATGAGTTAGTTTTATTTACATAGCAATAGTTGGTATAAATATGTTTGAAGCTGGATACGGCTTTTTTTAAAGGGGGAAAATCATCGAATGATTTTTCCCGCCTGGGAGAGGCGGGAGGGAGTGTTAGACTCTTTTTAGTCAGTAACTAAAAACCACCCCGTTCCTACTCCTGCACTTCGAGCCGGAGCCACGGCAACCCGTTAATACGCTGGATAGGGCTACAAGCATGTTATCGTAATTTTCAGAGTTCACTATGAACATAATTACAAAAATACAAAATACCTAAAGAATTTAATATTCATGAAAAAAACAAACTCATCTAATACAGTGTCTTCTTAAAATTATGATATTTATTTGTTAGAAGTAACAGCAGAATTGGAATGATTACGTAGTATTATGAGATTATGGAGCTCGCCGGCCGTTTTTTGGAGCGGCTAAACTAATTTAAAATGAAAGAACATTTCACGCTCCGAAGGCGACCTTTATAAAATGAGTTGGAAAATTGCGAAATATACAATGATGGACACTTCTCAGGACGAAGTGGATTCCTCTATTCTTATGAGCAATTATTTCTCCTTCTCCCGGCCGCGTAATACCAAACTCTATTTACAAAACATGTGAATCGTTTATAATCTTTGGTCAGCTCAGTTACCAACCAAAGCTTGGTACTGAATGAATATTTCTTTTCTGCATAGCAAATAACTTAGTTGACAATATTTAGGTGATGATTGAAGATGCTTTTTTGGTTATATTTTCATCTCGTCATACCTATCTCGGTTAATTGGTATTTAGCACACAATTATAAGAATAATTTTAATATACAAACATACTCCCTGATTCAGAGATATGAGTAAAATTATAAATCACACTGTGTCTATAGACACTGGTGACTTACACAACAGTGTAATGCAAAAACATTTTTGCATTATAATGCAAAAACTATAAAAAACAATTACAAAAATTATATGATGAAACCTCAATCACTCAACCTCAATCAACATACAAAGTATGTCGCATCTCAGCAATAGTTTTTGCCATCACATCGTCAGAATGAGAAGCAAACCAAAAGTTCCCTAACAAAACAAAAACATAGTTCAACCAATATAGGCGTTGTGTATACACTAGTTTTGACTTTACGCCTCCTAGCCTTTTTCTAACCAAGTTAGCTCTAATTTGGGAACTTGACATTTTAACTGAATATCAATATTTTACGCAGTCATATTTACAAAGATTATTATGAAAACTGATGTAAACGACATGGATTTGCTTTCAAAGATACTTATACAATTAAGTTTTCCATATCAAAAAAGAAAAATAAAAGATAACTAAGTAAGTGTGTGAGTAATTGGTCGAAGTAGGTTTGTTTTGATCGTTTAGTCCATCTGTAAGTAGGTTTTAACTACTTATTATTAAAATCGTGTCAGTTCTTGGATCACCACAAGTGCGTTGCTTACTATTTTGGAAACCATTTTTATATTACCTCTATAACTTTAGTGAGACTATAGACTTTAGTTACTATATTAATTATTACTAGGAACTCTTCTTT